TCTTATTAATTATTCTTCCCTTTATTATGTAAAGAGCTCTCCTTAAATATTGATACATTCCATTAACTAGTTCATTTGATAAAAGTATTGCTCCAACAACTTTTATTTGTTTGGGGTGTTAGTACACAAATCAGCCTCATATTATGAAGCTAAATAAATTGTAAAAACTTTGTGTTTTAATTAGATAAAAGTTTATCTTCCATTAACAAATTTGTTCAGAAATTAGGTTTTGGACATGAACATTCACAGCATAACACTGGGTCTCAGTCAAAAACCAAAAATTGAAAAATAGATATTGGAAAGCATCTAATAATATTCTGCCCATTTATTTTTCTATATGTTTAGAAAATAATTTCAACCATTTTTTATTTATATATTTTAGGTATAAGTCTTGCATACAAGATGTACTAATGAAATAGAAACATAAAATTTATAAATGTAGAAAAATAGGATATTGTATTATATAAAATATAATTGTATTATATAAAATATGTAATGATGAGCACATAGTTATGATAAAATATATGTGTCAAAATAATTGTAGTATTTCTTCTTTTTAATGATTAACATAATTCATTTAGGGATTTCTGATAATATAGGACTCATTTCTAATCTAATAATCATTGTTTGTCTTGCTTTTTCTTTTCTTTTCTAACTCTCCTTGTTTGCTTTGTCTTATATTGATGGCATGCTTTTTTTATAGTTATCTATTTAGCAATTTACTTAGGATTTTTAATATCTTTAATTAGTATATACTTGTTAATATACACAACACTTTTCTTTCTAATCATGTCTGAATTAGATAATTATCCCTTTTCGATCTTGGCAAAGGCCTTTCCTTGTACTAAAATTCCCATGCACTAGTCCCCTCTTCCAAGACATGTCATGTAGATATCCTTGTTTTTAAAACAACTTTACTAAATAAAAAGTTATGAAGGAAATAACTGAATATGGTTGCATATTCAAATCATTTCATATAGAATCTTAATAATTTAATATTTGCTTTAAATTAAAAGATCCAACAATTGTTTTGTCTGTATATTTAGCATTGCATTTGTACAACATGACTCATCTTTCCCTCCTTTTTTTAATTTTTGTAATTAAAATTATTTAAATGATAAAATTAAACAAAATACCAAAGACTGCGTGGCTTAAACAACAGAAATGTATTTCTTCAGAGTCTGGAGGCTGGGTTTCCAATATTTACAAGCCAGCAGTGGTTCCGGTGAAGCCTCTCTTGCTGGCTGGTTGGCAGGCCACCTTCTCACATGTGTTGTTCTCTGTAAGTTCATTGCCCTTTGTTCCTCATACCTCTTCTTTTCCCAGAAAGTCACCAGTCTTAGTGAATTTGGGTCACCTTTATAACCCCCTTTCCCTTAATGATGCCCATAAATGCCCTGTCTAAAAACAGGGCTTCAACAGTGGATTTGGGACCTAACAAACCAGTTCATCACACTCCTTCTGATGTATATCCATTAGGAGAGCATTTTCACTGAGGAGGTGCTTTTTAATATGAAATTATGTTAATAATGCCTGAGGACATACATTAAGCCAAGAATTTATAATTTTAATTACATTCCTATACACTTTGAAAATGTGAATCACTTGTCTTCTAGCATGTAATTTTTTAAAAAAGATTTATCGTGTGATTCACATTACTTATATTCTGCTTTATGCATTACCTGTCATTACTATGTAAATATTCTGAATTTCATTTTGTCTCTAATATTCT